CCCCCCAACAACCTCACTTAAACCCGATCCCTCCTCTAAGGGCCAGCCTGGCACGTCGCGGCAGTTTGCAAACAGCCTTCAGGCGGCTTCCCCGAGACATCAAAGTCTATAATTCACGCCCTCCCGCGTGCTGGGCCTTGCAAAGCCCCCGCCTTTGATGTGGCCCCCCTTCCCCCCCAGGTTACCTGCACGCGGGGGCCGAGCCGGGCATGTGTCGGCTGCGGGAGGCACCAGGCCTCTCTGCAAGGCGTTTTACAAGGTGTCTGCCATCGCGCGGCGCGTTCCTGACTGTTCGCTCCGCGCGGGGCAGCTGCAAAACAGAGGGGGTCGGGGGGCCGGGGGGGTCTTCCCCAGCGCACCTGGTCTCGCCCAGCACCTGCACGTTAATGGAAAGCCCTGGTGAGCCGCGGCGGGCGCCGTGCACAGGGCGGGCTGCGCGCTCCGGTGCCCAGGGGTCGGGGAGGTGGGGGGCACGCAGCGTCTCCTTTCCAAACTGACCTCCTTAATCTCTCCCCTGGCCTCGCAGCCTCTCCCCTCCGGGCCCCGATCGTCCTCGCTGCCCTTCTCTGCTTCTCCTCTCTCCTTTTGGAGGTGCGGGGGCCGGATCCGTGGATTTACACCAGGGATTTGCACAGGGGCATCATGGTACTTCCCGCGGCGTTCCCCATCCCTTTCGTCAGCGTCCTCAATGCTGCGTTTGCCTTTCCGGTGGTGGACTGGCTTTGGGGGGGGGGGGGGGTCAGCACCGGGACTTGCCCTGGGGCTGGGCGCGAGGACCCCAAGGTCTCTCCTGTGCCAGGCTTCATGCTCCTTGCCTCGTTCCCTGTGTGAGCCGAGTTGGCTGCACATCCCCGTAGCCTTGCACAGGGACAGCCCTGAGCCCCCAGCTCTTTGGCAGGCTTCAGCCCCCCTCCGCTTGCTCCAAAATGCCCCCACCAGCTGTATCCAGACGCTTCCCCCCCATCCCAGTTCGCACCAGTGGTCCCCATTGAATAGCGCAGAAGCTTTCTCCTGGCCTCTTGCACCATCACACCCCGTTGGCCCTCCTTCCAGTCCTGCTCAGCACTCAGGAGCCATGTCTGTCTTCCCTTCCTCCATCTCCTGCTCCATAATGCAGATTTAAGGCAGTTTTCTGGGTCTGTTGTGTATGGGAGACCCCAAGCAAGGGCAGGGCTCGGCGTTGCAAGCCCTCCAAAGCCGCGGACGGGGCAGGCTCCGGCCATAGAGATGCTCTACAACCTCAGCTTGCTTGCTTGGCTGTTTCTTGCAATCAAGCCCGTGGCCCTCATGGCTCTGAGATGCCCTCCGCATGGGCTGCGACGATGCAGAGAGCCGGGAGCCTTGCTCTGCCCCATTTCCTCCAAAGCCAGCGGGTCCTTCTAATATCCAGATGGTTTGGTCCTGCTTCTGTGTTGTGATTAATAGATGCTCCAGAGACCCCAGCTCAGAGGAAGGGGGATCCCCCCCAGTCTGGACCAGTCTGAGCGGGAGGCAAATCCCTTCCTGCCCCAGCGCACGTCGGTCTGAGCCCTCCAGCCAGGACCCTGCGGGCCAGCTCTGTCCCCCGCAACGCATGCATCTCCCAAATTGAAGTCCAGCCGTAAACCTGCCGGGGCGGCGCAGAGCTGTGCCTCTTGCAAGCCAGATGTGGCCCGCGGTCGGGGCGTTGAGCCCGCCGACGGCTTTCGCAGCCGGGATGGGCAAGGATTTATTTTTTTTTGCAGTGGGTGTCTGTGGAAATATATGGAGAGTGCCTCGCATGTGCTACCGGCTGGTAAGCTGGGAAGAAGGGGCATGAATCATGTCACCTGGCTCCGTCTTTAATCATATCAGCCCGGTTTGGTTCTCCAACAAGACAACATATATTATCTGTGTTCAAAAAGGCATTTTACAGGGTTGGGAGTCTAAATATCATTTATAAATATTTAATCCTACAAGTGATCTTTGCAAAAGAAGAATAGCTCTTCATTATCATACCTGTGTCTATTGAAATATCACCGTTATTTATCATCGCGCTGGGCGCCCGGGCTGGCCGGGGACTGCAGGGTCGGTTTGTGCCAGGTGCGGCCGCAGGGGCGGGGGGCAGAGCTGCAGGGATGCTCCGGGGAGATGACGGCACACCCCAGAATCAGCTGCTTTGGTGAGAGGGGCTGGGCAAGGCGCTGGGAGCCGTGGCCCTGTGAAGGGCATTAGCATTTCCCAGCATAGGGGCCGGTCCCGAGGTGCTGAGATGGTGTCTCGCACGGCGGGCTGGGCACGCGGTCCCAGGTCTGCTGGCTGTTTCACCTCTCTGACATTCAGCCCGGCTCTGCCCTGCTCTGTTTTGACTCCTGACAAGCCTTTCAATTTGCTCTCCTCTCTGAAGAGCCGAGAAGCCATTGATAGTTTTTCCCTCTGAATTATTGAGTCCCGGCGTCGGGTTTCAGCCCCGGCGGAGGGGCCTTGCGGGGCTGCCATTGATCCGCTGGGCTCAGGTTCAGCCCAGCCTCTTCCCCAGACGGCTGTCTCGGGGGCTGCGTGAGCGATTCGCCGTGGGTGCACGGCTCCCCTGAGCACTGCGGTACCTGCCTGGCGGCCTGGGGACCGTCGGGGTCTGGGGGTAGAAGCAGAAGAGGAGGGGTGATAGGACACAGGCAGCCCCAGGGCTCCCACACTGTGCTTCTGGCTCCCAGCACCTCCTGCACCGTGGCAGGCTTTGGCCCTCCCAGGCCTGGGCACTGCCTTGCAGCTGGGCTGAACCAGCTCCGTGATGCATGCAATGCAATGGCTGCGGGCTCGTGGTCCTCGAAAGGCTGGATATGCGGTGGGTGGGTAAAAGCATCAGCCCCGTGCACAGCAGCAAACAATATGCCAGGGATGGTGAAGAAGGGGAGGAAGCATCGCGATGCCCTCGACGACGGTGCCCAAGGTATGGTTCCCGCACCGCCAGAAAGAGAGAGAAGAAGGGTTTGCAGAAGGGAGAAAACCCCAGTCGCTTTCCCTTCCAGTCTCCACTTTGTGCCCGTGTGACACAGGAAGACGGACCCAAGGTCTGCCCCAGGCTGTAGCAGCTCTGATAGTCTCACCTGCCTCCCCCCTGGTTCGAACTCGTCTTCCTCCGGGGGGGGGCCGGCGAGGCAGCGGAGCCGCCTGCCTGCGCCCGGAGACTCCCCGTGCAGGTGCCTTTAAGAGGCGAGGAGGAGGAGGCCGCGAGGAAGGGCGCGCGGGGATGTCACGCAGCGATAACACGTCTCCAAATCGGATTACGGCAGGTTTTCGGGGGCACCGCGGCATTGATCGGCTGGGCCAGAGCCGGGGGGGCGAGGCCGCGGCGCGGCGGCGCAGGGCAATCGGATCCCTTCCATTAGGCTGATCAATAGCCCCCGCGCGGGGGGGGGAGCGTTGACAAAACCGAATAACTATAGACGTGAGAGCTGAGAAATCGCATTACGGCCCAGAGAGCCAACACAACACGGGTAACCCTGTCACCTCGCACCCCGCCGGGGGAGCTTAACCCTTGCGGGGTGGAGGGTTGCAGCCGAGACCGGGTCCGGGGTCGCCTTGTCTTGGATAAACCCCCTCTGGGGATACCCTGGCCTGGGTGCTATTGGAGAAGGGCGCTGTCGGCCAAATCCCTTCCTGCCCCCGTGCAGCGTCGGTCTGATCCTGAGCGCGGGGGCAAGACCCTCCAGGCAGGACCCTGTGGGTTGGTGCCAGCAGCATCCCAGCCCCAGTCCCAGCCTGGGCTGCAGCAGCACCAGCGCCTCTGGGGAGGCTGAAAATCCCCCGACGTGGAGCAAAAATGTGAGGATGGGGCGTGGGGGGTACAGGGAAGGCGAGCACAGATCCCAGGCGTGGGGTCCTCGCTGTGGGACCGTGAGCAAGGCAGAGACTTGTAGGAGAGGAGGGTGGGAAGGGAGCTCAGGAGGTCACATCCAGCCCCAGCCGCATCATCCCACCCGAGGCTTTGTCTGCCTGGGTCTTAAACACCTCCAAGGATGGAGACTCACCACCTCTCTGCATAACCTGTCCCAGTGCTTCACCAGCCTCCTCGGGAGAAAGTTATCCCTACTATCCAACCTCAGCTTCCCTTGCTGCAACTTGAGCCCATTGCTCCTTGGTCTCTGCTACCACTGAGGACCGTCCCTTGTCCTGGGGAGAGTGTGTCCCCGAGCCCAGGCATGGAGGTCCTGGCCCCAAAACTACCACAGTGCCCAGAAGGAACGGGCCCCCGGCTCTTGACCATGGGTCCTGGCAGAGCAGGAAGCCGTTGTGCTTGGGGCAGCGCCTGCCCCGGGTGATGGGGCTGCCCGAGCCCGGGGGCAGACGGGCTTTTGGCACCTTGATGGCTGCATGGGGCTGGTCTAGGGGGCTGGGCTGCAGAGGGTGAAGAGTGTGTGCACACACCCTGTGTGATGTAAGCGTATGTGTGTACGGAGTGTGCACACATATGCGTATGGATGCATGCAGGGTGTGAGTGTGCATGTGCAGGGTGTGAATGTGTGTGTGTGGGGGTGAGAAGTGTATGTGTGCATACAGGGTGTGAAGAGTGTGTGTGTGTGCAGTGTAAAGAGAGCATGTATATGCAGGGTGTGAACTGTGTGTGTGTGTGTGGATGCAGGGTGTGAAGAGAGTGTGCATTGTGTGAAGTATGTATGTGTATGGTGTGAAGTGCGTGCATGTGCACGCAGGGTGTGAAGAGTATGTGTGCATGGTGTGAAGTATGTGTGTGCGTATACCAGGTACAAGGTATGTGTGTGTGCGTGGTGTGAAGTGTGTGCACACGGAATGTAAATAGAGTGTGTGTGCATGCGAAGTGTGTACATGCATATACCAGGTGTGAAGTGTGCACACGTAGGGTGTGAAGAGCTCGGTGGGGACGGGCCCGGTGCAGAAGAGGGATGGCGGTTTGGCAGTGCGGAGCCTGGCACGGGGGTAGCAGTAAGCTGCTGCTCAGGAGTGAGGGGCACTGTGTGCACCCTCGGGGTGCTGTGCTGGGGGCATCGCCCCGCAGCCCCCCCCCCGTACCCGCGTGGCTCCCGCGCTGCCGGCCGTGCAGGTGCCGGGGGAAGCACCTGCACCCCTGCAGCTCCCGCCTGCCTCTGCCCAGCTCCTCTGGGCTGCCTCTCATTTGACAGGTCTCATTAGCAGACATTTAACACCTTGTTTTGCTCAGGCTCGGGCTGCAGCCAGACAACACATCCACAGCCTTTGACCCGACCCCCAGCCCCGGGTCACCTGGCCACTCGGGGCTCTCGGGAGCACGTCCTGCACCTGCCCGGCGCCCCCCTGCCGTGCACGTGGCCCCTTCCCCGAGCAGGATTTCAAGGTCCGTGTTAAAAAAACCCCATCCGAGGGAAAGGGGAGACGAGCGTTGAGTATCCTGGTATTAATTGGAGAGTCTCCCCAGGTCCCCATCACCGCCCCCCCGCACTTCTCCGTGGGCAGCGCTTTGCTCCTGCACTGCGAAGAGGGCCCAGGAGCTGCCACCTCCGTAGGCCTGCGTTTCTCTGCTCCATCCCCGCATTTTCGGTGTCTCCGGGCTCCTGCGTGGTGCCCGTGCAGACCTGGCAGCCTCACGCTGGGCTCGTGCCCCGAGCTGTCTTCCTCGCCTCTGCGTCCGTCCCCCCGGAGCGGTCGCAGGTCCTTTGGACCCTGGCGCCGTCCCCGACGTGGCTTTGGGATGGACGTGGTCTTCTCCCGCCTGCCAGGAGGACGGGGCTTGGCTGCCAGCTTTGCTCTGCTTCGTGTCGCGGGAGCGCGCGAGGCTGGACCTCGCGGGGTGCCCATAACAGAGGCTTGCGCCTCGTAAAATCCTGGCTGTAGCTGTCACGGGGGGCTGAAGGGAGGGATGATTTTATTTCTCTAGGACCCCACGGGCCGCGGTCATGCGTCGATTGTGATCTCTCCATCCTGCTGCGACAGTGCCCCCCTCCGCGCCCCCCGGCCCCGGTTAAATATAGTGGCAGACTTTGGAGGTGATTAGTAATAAAATTTTAACAAGCATCCATACGAACGTCCCTGTCACTTTTATGAGGCCATTTATAGCGGGGAGATATAGGAGCGCCTTAAATCTCCCCCTGGCGGGAGGGGCCGAGGCTGTGCCGCGGCGGGAGGGGAGGCCGCGGGGGCGGAGGGGATGCCCGCCGTGTCCCGGGCGTTGGTGTGGCCCTCGGGGTCCTCAGAGTCTTCCTGGAGCGTGGCCGGCTCCTTGCGCCTCTGCGGTGCTGGCCAGGGTTCGGTCCCAGAGCGCGTCCGGCATCCCGGCGCGTCCCGCCCAGCGCAGGGAGCATGGCCCTCGCCCCGGTCACCAACGCGGCCGAAAGCGCCTCGGGCATCCTTGTCCGGGAGCTGGGGTACAGTCCTGGCAGCAGCTGCCGTGCCTCCCCCGTGTGGGGGCTCTCCCTCTTGTCGGGCTCGAGGTTCCCCTCCTTATGCTCAAGGTCCCCTCGTTAGACTCTGGGGCCCCTGGTTAGGCTCAAGACCACCTTGTTACTCTCCGTGACCCCTTGTTAGGCTCCATAACCCCTCATTAGACTCTCTGGTCCCTCATTAGGCTTCATTGCCCCCCATTAGGCTCAAGCCCCCCTTGTTAGACTCCGTGTCCCCTCGTTAGACTCAGTAGCCCCTTGTTAGACTGCATAGCTCTTCATTAGGGTCATGCCCCCCCTTGGCAGACTCAGGGCTCCCTCGTTAGACTCCATGAGCCCCTTGTTAGACTCAGGATTGCCTTGTTCGACTCAGTGCCCCCTCATTAGACTCTAGGCTCCATAGCCCCTTGTTAGGCTCTGTGTCCTCTCGTTAGACTTAATCCTCCCTCATTAGACTCCAGGTCCCCTCACTAGACTCAAAAGCCCCTTGTTAGACTCCGTTGCTCCTCGTTAGGCTCAAGCCTCCCTGTGTTATAATCAGGACCCCCTTGTTAGACTCAAGACTCCCCTGTTTAGACTCATTACCTCCTCGTTAGACTCCAGGTCTGATCATTCGGCACAAGCCCTCCTCATTAGACTCAAAGTTCCCTCCGTAACTTTTCTGAATTTAGCAGTGCTGTTTTCTGATGATGGGAAGACACCAGAGTGGGTCTGACGTTGCAGAGAGTGCCGCCGGCCTGCAGCAGGGCAGGGGGGCCTGGCCATTGCAGGTTTGCTGCTCGGCCCCGGTCGCTCTCCTTCCAGCGTGGCACAGGTCGCTGGGTATGATGGGCCTGGGTCTGACCCAGCACGTGGCAGCTCTGATCGTCTTATGCCAATATGGTGAGGCTCTCAGCAGCGCCCTTCAAAGCATCTCAAGGCACCCGGAGTGTCGCGGCACCCAGCGGGGAAGCCCTGTGCTAGGCGTATGCACCTCCGCCCTTTGGAGGGGTCGCTGGCTTTGGTCAACGGGTGATGATTGTAAGGGCATGGGGTGCAAGGGGTCTCTGGAGCTGCCTTTGCAGGCAGGGAGCCCCCAAAACCACCCTAGTGCAGCCCCCACCCAGCTGCAAGGCTGCAGACAGAGAGCGGATCAGACACCAAGTGCCCCGGCCCTGTGGGAATCCAGCCAGAACGGCCAAGGCCCAGGCAAACAGAGACATGTGGGGGCCAGGAGTCACTGGCAGAGCTGGTGGGGGGAAGCGAGTCCCCTGCCCTCCTTACCGTGTGCCCTTGGCCCTTGCCCGCGCTGCCTCCCGCCCATGTGCCTTCGGTGCCATTGGCGTTCCCGCGCGGGGCCTGGCGAGCGGAGCGGAGCGGGGCGCACCTGGCATTTTTACTCTGCAAAGCGCGTGGCGCTGTGGTTGGGGATGGACCGGTTCCTGCTTCTGCTTTGGTTTGATTGCAGAAAGAGAAAGCAGCTTTGGGCAGCGGTGCTGGGAAGGAGGAACCAAAACAGGCAACGCTGCGGCTCCCCAGCCCAGAAATAGCAGCCTGTCCCCACCTGGTCCCTGGCCCCAGAAGGTCCCTGTCCTTGCCTCCAGTGGCGTCGGTGGGAGCTGCTCTGGCACCTCTTGCCGGCTGTCTGGGGTCACCGAGTCTGTCCCCGCACAGAGCAGCGGTTCTCAACCATGT